CTAGCCTTTTGGTGAATTTTGTTGCGACCGGAAATGAAGATATTCAGCAAAAAGCAACCAGTTGGGAAGCCATTCGTATAAAGTCAGATACAATCGTGTAGGGAGCAACATCATCTTCTTCACTTCTGCCACATACTATTTCAGGGTTCTTGCTGCCGGTGTCGTACTACTCTGCACGAGCAATACAATATTCTCACAAAAGCAGAGAGGGATGTTGGCCGCTCAACCAACGACACAAAAGCTTGCAAGCAGAAGTCATAAATCCCTGACCGTTCGGACTTCTTTCCCAACTGCTTTCGCAACGGTGGCGTAGTCTGCGATATTCGGGCTTCCTTCGAAGTCCGTTCGATCCGCATTTCGTACAGAAATGTTTTTCGATGTCTAAAGGACCGACCGATCCCCGTCGGTCCTACAAAGCAGGGGAAAATCGTAGACAACTGGGTGGGTCGGGAGGGAAAGCACATTTTTCAAGACCAGATCTTTCACCAACATGGCCACGGACATTAAAATGTTCGTGTCAATCGACATGCGCAGATCCTCGTGTGTCGATGAATGTAGGCAAGAAAAACAAGGTTGTCATTTCGCACACCGATGTGCTACACAACAGTCTGGAAAACACCGCAGCAATTTGTAGTCTTGCATCACATTATAAGCGGGAGTCTATGGGTTCGTGTACAGTCATCAAACCATCTATCGTTGCGACTACTCTGAGTTACAGGTAGTGCGCCTTGCTCATGCTTTAATACCAGAACCGGGCTTAACGGCAACGGGCATGTACAAAGTGCTCACTCCAGCAAAAAAACACTAGCTTTTTTCCGCGTGTGTTGGAATGAATTCCGGAACTCCAAGACTCGGTGTCCAAAGGTTTTGGAATGTTTGCAAGTTCTGGAACTCTGGACTTCTTTGGGTTTTAAACCCGTACTGAGGCCGATGCGTTCGACCGGAGAGAGCGTTCTCCGAACAACTCACAGCAACAAAAATGCCATCGAGAGACGCATCAAACTTGAGATCTCGCATTCCCAGAACATATACCCAAACTGTCTTCCATCTCTGTCCCTCTCTCTCTCTCTCTCGTTTGTGTTGAGAGATTTGCTTTTGACAGAAGAGTGTCCAGAAGGGTTGTCAGAGAAGTTTAGAGTTTAGAGGAGGATGTGTAGCATGGCTTTCAAAAGGGTTTATGGGAGGGCAGGGCATCTAGCTTATAGACTGGTTGATAGAAGGGCTCGTACGGTAAAAGGGGTTTATAGAAGTGCGCTTTCGGAGCACTTTCTAGTTGGATTTTTCTTTCTACATGCATACATACTTGCGTTTCTCTCACATAGAGGAAGATGGATGCTTCATGCCGACTGACGACAAGTAGCAATTGTCCAACTTGCATGCGAAATAAGGTCTGGCCGTCTTGATGCTCCAATCCAGAATTCGGGCACGCAGCAACGGTCAAACCCGAGCATGGTGTAGTGATCTCGACATTGATGATGCCACAGTTAGGATGAAAACGACCAGTCCTGCGAAGGCAGCAGGCCCATGCACAATGTGAAACATGCTGCGTAAACATGCAAGTGATATCCTGCTGCTCGTGCCTGCAGGGAAGGTTCAGTGCTATGCCGGTGAGTGACACGGTTTGAATACAACTGCGGGCACGCAAGGGCAAGGAACTAGACTACAACAGCAAACCATGGCACATCCGTTCGATCGGTCACTGTTGCTGAGACGAAATGTACTTGGGAACGCCTGTCGGGAATAATAGTGCCCTGTTCTTTGGACGCCGGCTGCCGTGAGGCGCGGAGCCAAGCTCAGCTCGTACGAACCTGGCAGCTTCGCTGACGATCTCGTCGTGGAGGGATGCATAACTTTTGAAATCTCGCGGTTTCTCGGAGCTGGATGCCATTCCTGAAGATGAGTGGTGCATCCTTGTCAGCGACGGCCCGAATGCCCAAACGCCCCAGGAAGTAAGCCAGATTCCATGTGAATCCCTGAATGTTTACCGTGCTGACAACGACATCCCAGACATGGTCCCTGTTCTGCCTCACCACGGGACTGTAGACTTTTTGGCAGCAGAATGGTCAAGGAAATTGATGAAAGCAAGCTCGACGTTGCAGTCTGCGCGCTTATCGAAGGGAACATAGAGAAAATCTATCTGGCTGAGCTTGATCTTGTTCTCCTGCAGCAATTCCAAGATCCTCTGTCAGTCCCAATCTTCCGGCAAACGCCGCATCATCAGCGTTGTAGCCCCATGTTCCAGCCCACTTCTCTTCAAGGGACAGCGCATGTCCGAAGAAAGCTGCTACAACGTTGTCTGAACCCCTGCCCTGCACCCTACAGTAAACCCTGCAATCCTAGCGGCCTTAATAATTAGAATGGTGTTTTAGTATGTAATCTGGCTTCAGACTCCTCTAGTAACTTCCCTAAACTCTAAACATTCAACTTGGCCTACGAGCTGCTCTCGAAAGCGCAACTGGACGAGCTGAACCTCGCATGCGAGGATCCCTTAACGGTTCTTGAAGAACCCCAGAAGAATACTTTTAGTTCCAGAGGTGTAGGGTCTGTGGTCCTGCGGATCAACGGCCGATCGATTCGAGCCAGGATTCTACGGTTATGAGCTACGAATTTACAACGCAGGATTTTAGCTTTGCCTAGGAAGAGCCGGAGAGTGAAAGCTCGAAAAGCTAAGCATTTATTTGAGCAATGGGCGATTCTGCTTGTATTTTGTTGGTGGGCTTAACTCGAGCTATGGCATCTCATGCATTCAGCGAGTTTCGGCCTGAAGCCACAAGAGAAACAAATATCCTGGGCTAGCGGCCTAAAGAAGTAGAATCCAGTTGTAAAGTACTTTGCGGTAGCCCGGGGGTCGTGAAGATATTGTCTCAAAGTTGCACAGGCCAGTTTCGGGCCCCAACCCAGAACCAAAGACACACTCATCCAGGGCGGCACTCAGAATCCTAGCTTGAGGGGGTTCGGGCTTCTTCGCCTCAAGTAGAGCTTGGACACCTTACGCCCTGAAGACATGTGAGCATCTGAACACACGATCCCTGGCTCAGAAAGATCCTACCAACCGCCCTACAAGCAAACGCACCTTTGTGACCTGGTGCTCCTGCGGACTTGTGCGTGACGGGCGAGAATTTAGTGCGCGACGGGCGAGAATTTATACAACCGATCAAAAATGAACTGCTCAGGAACAGTCATTTGTGGAGGAAGCTTGGAATTCCAAGCTTCGAGGCAGAATAAGATAGCCTGACAGTACTTTACTTGCGATGGTCGGCTTCACGAGTTAGGTTTAGCGGGTTCAAAGGCTGACCACGCCAACATCTCGATACATGCAACCGACGATTACATGGCCTGAGACTGACGTGCAGAATCAATCAATTGCTCTTCCAGGCTGCTTGACACCCGGGACGGATCTGGTAAGCCAGCGAACCACAGAGAGGCATAGAGGGAAAGATAGGGTGGTTGTCGAGCTCCCGCTGCGTCAACTCTAACTCTCTCCCCGAAGTCAGCCCTGCCATGCAAGTCTACCCTTCGCAACCTCCATGCCCGAGCCACAGCCGGATGAACCGACTCCAATTCATCAAGTGGCATGTGCGAACAAACTGAAGCATTCAAAAAGAGGCCGACGCAATGCAGACTCCTCCAAGCGCTTCCGCAACGGCTCCAGGTCCGACTTTTCCTTACATTTCCATGCCATCGCTTGGTCTAAAGCTGTTGAGGGGACTTCGGAGCTTAGGGTCATTTATGCAGAGAAAGTTTTGGTTTAAGATTGTAAACAGATGTTATAAAGGCTGCTTCCATCTCTTGGCCAATCTCCTTCGGCAGAGAATTTGGAGGGGTTGCAGCTGTGCTGCTACTGGGGACTGTTGCTTCACTGTCATACGGAGAACCTCAATCCCTCGCACAACCTCTTTTCACAGTACCAAGGAGGGGCTTATGATGAGTTGCGGTTCGGGAGCGTGGTGCTTGTTATGTGTTCGGTGGCACCGCCAGGGCAGGCTCGGTGCAAGGTCGGCTCTATTCACCAACCGACTATGGGTCGTTTTCGAGTTTCTTCATCTTTTGACACTCCACCTTGACTCGATACACATCGCCCATCACAGATTGGGATTCACAGGATTCGGCGATGTGTCCCTCGTCGTAGGGCCAGAGTACCGGTTTGACATTCACACATGTGACGGCGTGGACTCAAACTCGTCCGTTGACCTCGCATATCAAACCCTGAGAGCAGCGCAGTTTTGGTGTGCAGCAGGTTCCCTACATTTCCTTCCGGATCAATGCTCTCAAACCATGAACTTTAAGACCCGAAGGCACTAAAACTTCAAGCCCCACTACCTCACCCCCCCCCCCCCCCCACAAAAAAAAATCAAATGAAATGAAGACCCTCCACCCCTAAGCCCCTACAGCCTACAACATGTAAGCCTTGAACCCCAAAAGCCCTCCCAGGCAGCCGAGGATCGGCTTTGGGATCCATGGCGTTCGCCAGCTCCTCAAAGCAAGGCAACTGCCAACCCTGAACCAAGATGTGAGCCACTTGAAACCTGTCTCGGAACCCCTTACGTAACCTGGCGGATTTCCAGATTTCGTCGAATGTTCTGTTGTTGGACAGCCTGCGCCACACTCTTCTCGTCATGATACAGACTAGATTTATGTAGTAATTATTTTGCATCCGGAAGCCCGCATCATAGAAGCGGTCTTTTGTACAGCCGAGGCTCTGGTAAACTTGTTTCTAGTTTGGGCAGATCGCGCGGTCGGCGCACTATATTTGGGGACTTACGGCTTGCAGGTGGTGGTACAACTGCCCTCTACTAGGTCACAGGTCCTAAGTGGGGTAGGCAAATTTGCGGAGCTTGGCTGCATTCGGCTGTGCGGCCCTGCGCAAAACCAGATGCAAAGTCGCACGGCCCTTGAGAGAAAGACCGAGTGCATTCTTTCGAAGACGAGGCAAGCGATTGCAGCGTCGGTGGGGATGGACAGGATCTCTCCGTCGAGGACTAGACATACATGCCAGAGCACTAGACCGACAACAGCGAATCTGGAGCTTCGTCCTCTGCAAGGCGCCCAGGCCGCCCAAGTGCAATGTCAATGGCTTCAGCAACACCATCTTCCGTGCTCGGACTCACGACAATATCAGCAGCGGCCAAAGCCTTGGGCTTCCCGTCGCCCACAGCTATGCCCAAGCCTACCATTTCCAACATCTCGACGTCGTTCTCCGCGTCCCCGCAGGCCAAAGCGGAGTCCAGGCTCAAGCCAAGACCCTCGAGCAACTTCTTCACTCCGGTACCTGTGACCCCGAAGGTTTAGAAGCCTGACTTTTGAGTGGGTTTGTGTCTATAGGGTCCAGGTGAAGTCGTTGCTGTGCAACCCAGGCGGAAATATCTGAGGGGCATGAAGTTGCACGTCATTCTGTCTGCCCCACCTTTGTTTACCTCAGGAGGCAGTATCTCACATTGTCGAGGGCCACAGTCGAGAATCGCGACGCCGGTGCCTGAAGACAGTAGGAAGACTGAAGCGATGGGATGGGATCCTCCATCCGGACCCCTCCCTGTTATTAACAAAATCTCAACAGCCTGCACCCCCCAATAGATACTGAAGCCGTGTGCCTCGACGAGAAATCTGGGATCTCACCGGCCTCTAGGCTTGACTTTCGCACCCCGTGGCCTGCCAGCGACCTTTGAAATGAGTCTACAACGTCTGCCATTGCTGCCCAGCCATCCTCCTGGCTCGGGGTGACAAGGATGAGGGCTGGTAGGGTTTGGTTTCACTGGCTCACGGTTGATTTTCGCCTTACGGTGCTCGAGGGGATTTGCAAATGTCCGCCTCGGGAAGCGTGAAGAGAACAAACTTGTGCACGTCCTTCAGTGGTCTCAGCGTCGGAAGCAGTACCGTGTCCGGTTCCCCGGCACTTCTGATGAGGTCAGTAGCCCAAGTGGGGCCTTCCGGCGCTAGCCTTCCAGGTCGGGTGTGAGCGAACCCTGCATAAAGGCCCTACAGATAATAGAAGGCTGGACAGCTCCAAGCACTTTGCAAAGCTCGAGGACTAGGAATCCGAACCCGCTCTTGCGGCTTGCTGCATACTGATAAGGTCTAGCGGAGGGACTCCACATAGCGCAGGGATCCTTCCCACATAGTGGCAGCCAGCACCAAAATGCGGAGCCCGCCAAAACGCCCTCCAGAAGTCTGTTCTAGAACGGCTTCCACTGCAGCAGCAGGCAAGTTCGAGGCTGCAAGGATCTTCGGTGAAGGACCTGGGCCCGGCTCCAGCACGAGAGCTCCGTTGGCAAAGACGCCAGGTCCCAGAGGAACTTGGGCACAAAGCTCATCATACCAAGGGCCGGGGATTCGGCCAGTGGCTACACAAACGGCCAAGCCTTCATCGAATGCTTTCTGCAAAGCCTGCTGGTTTCTCTCCGAGATCTTTTTGTTTTTGCCGAAGGGCATTAGTGTCCCATCCACGTCCGTGATGACCTCGGGACTGGTCTCAAGAGATCTGCTCAGCACTGAAGGTCATGCAAAAGAGCTAGATAATTACTCTACAAGTTTTGCACCCTGGACCAGCAACCAAGGCAAGGACCGCCTTGCAGCGAAACGTGCGACTGATCTCCGATGTCATGGCCAAGGACGTCAAGGACCAAGCCAACGCGACCAAGAGAAACGAACGAGCTTCCTGAAATCGTCTCCGCAGTGGAGGGTGTGTGCGTGGCATCATGTGGAACCAAGCATAGTCGGTTCAACAAGCACATTCTGGAGAAGTGTTAAATGCTGCTGTCGCATGCGTTGGTCGGTATTTCTCTCAGTCATCTATTGTAGAATTCGACCCTGCGCGGTCTGGTGTGATGCCGCTGGACTTGTCAGGCCGCTTCTGGACCCGAGCGCACTTTCTTGAGGGCACTGATCCATGGTCACTTCTGTCGTCCTTGATCAAGCTGCGCACTCCCACATCCTAGGGACAAGGATTCAGACCGCAATCGACACCCGACACTGCGCAGTACAAGAACACCAAGCTGGGGTTTATCAACCCGTGACTGATAAACTTGTATGATTAAAGATCGTGAACTGCTTGGCTGGCCCCAACTCGTTGCTTGCCAAGAAGAGGCCTGCAGCTTCTCTTGGGCTTTCTGGAGCTCGTTGCGCTCGGCCTGCGCCCAAGAAAAAAGACGTGAATGTGAGTATGTCTGGGTGTCAGCTGCTAGATTTCAAATGCTCGCCCGAGAAGCCTGAAGATCAGCTCCAACTTGCAAGCCAAACCCCGGACAATTCGCCCGATCATCCCAAGCCTCTGAAGGACTTCTCCTATCGCACAAGAACTCGCCGTGCAAACAAACCTCTGAAGCGAGGGAAGCCACGAAGCTCCGCACGTCGAGAGCCACACTTTCTGAATTCCTGTGCAAGGCCTTCTAAGGCAACACCTGACGAAAGCTCAGGGTCGGACCAAGCATGCTCGTAACTAGGAAAGTTGGGTTTCTATGAACAACAGCATGCCCCCCCTGCACCTTGCCCTCCACACCTTCGCCGAGGACGATCACCTGTTCATAATGAAAGAGCAAGGGCCTGTCTAATACACTCTCCAAGTTATGGGGGCAACAGTCTTCAAGTTTTCTTCAATTTCTGGGATCACTGCCCAGTGTTACCTGTTACCGATGGCTACACACTGTGCCTAACCAGCTATGCAGCAGGTGCATGCAGGAATTCAGCGCGTTCGCAAAACCAACCCGGTCCTTTGGGTGGTCCCAAACATAGAAATAGAAGCTTTGCACAGGCGGCAACAGGGCAAGAGCTGGAGCTGTCAGGAAGAGCCATGCACGGGACAATTCACATGACGAGTTGTTCAATCAACCTGCCTGAACCCCTGCAGTCCGCCCGGCCCTGGCGCCAAGCAAGCCTTGATTTTACTAGCCACTTCGTCATTTGATACTCTCTTTGCCGCCTACTGCTTCAAAAAGACTTGTCCCTCTCATGCTAACTGTGGCCTGCTCCTCAAGCCTCCGCAAGGCCATGTCCTGACAGCCGTGTGGGTTGAGAGTCTAGCGCTAGTTTGTCGTGAGTGACGGATCTGGTAGTATGATACAATTCGCCGTCATGCCATGTAGGGGAATGCAGTGCAACATAAAGTCTTGCAGTGCAATGTCAATGTATGTGGACATGTCCATGTAGTGATGTAATGTGTATGTGTCTCGTTTCTGCCGTGTCTGTAGCTTAAGCCCGTAATGTGCAGTACAGGAGCCCAAAAGAAGGTGATATACGTAGTGTACTGTACTGTCACGTATGTGGTACCTGCATCTGGTGCCTGCCTACCTGCCTCTGTTTGTTTCTATGGTCCTATACATGTATGCATGCATGCATGGATGTTGGATGTAGGCGTGTGTACGTCGGTAGGACTTCGGTAGGTACGCAGGCAGGCAGGTATATACGCCTGTATGCACACATGCATGCATGCATGTATGTATACAGTTTTTACTTTCTACACGTATGTAGTGTTCAGACATGTCTGTAATTTTGGTCTGTCTGTCTGTCTTTCTTTCTGTCTCTGTTTGTCTCTGTATATAGGCATGTAAGCGTATGTCTGTCTCTCAGCGTGTTTGCTTGTCTGCCTGGCTGCCTCCCTCGTTCCCCGCCCGCCTGTCTGGATGTATGTATGTATGCACACATATCTATACATATATATATATATATGTATATGTATACACACCGCTTGGATAATCAGATGTTCTGGTTCGCAGTTTACTCTCCAGCGCAGTCTCGATATTCATTGTGCCCAGACTCCTCTATCTAGCCGTCTATCTGTCCATTTAGCTCTAGCTGACTCTAGCTAGTTTATCTATCTCGATCACACCGCACAAAGCCTTCGCCAATACGCAACTACAGCACAAAAAGCATAATTACATGAGAGCCTTCGGGCAAGAGGCAAAGACAACAGAAAACGAAATAAGACATTGAGATTGGTGGTACTTATCCGGTCGAGCAGAGCACCAAACCTCCAGACCCTCTCTCCACTTGCCCAGAACCCGAAGCCTTGAGCTAAAAGGCGGTGAAAGTAATGATATAACCCCTGAGCTAGAAGTTTAAACTAAGCCATCGGAACGCAACCCAAACCGAACACGCGGAGGCGTAAACCCGGAACTTACAAATCTGAAAGCTGCGGCGTGGTAACTAAACCCAAAGACTAACTACCCGAGACCGCCTCCGCCTTTCGCTCGATGCCCTGGAGCACCTCTCTTGGAAGGTTAGTGGGGGGCACTCCCGTCCATGGAAGAACTTCTGTAGGTGCGGCTTAGGAATCCAGATTCGGGACTCAAACCAGAAGCCCGGAAACCGATCCTTTCCTGGAGCTCTACAGCAAGGGCCGGCCCGTAGCAGAAGCCTTCCTGACCTTATCTGTTGATAAATGCAGCCATATATCATCCTGTACATGTAACCTGCGACACAGACACCCCTTATGAAACGCCCCCGAGGCCTGCAGAACAACCGAAACATGCCACCAACTTCAAGACCAAGGTGCTCAAAACAAAAAGCAGACGACCAATCAGAAACACGACGAACCACAACCACCACGAAAGGAGCTGACATTTCTCAAAGCTGGGCGCCCCATATCCTCATGAGTTCGAAAACTTCCTGAAACTTCTGAACCCTGTTGGGCCCCGTTTGCGACCCTTTTGTGGCCTTGCTCAGCCGCTCCTCGAGCTGATCCAGGCGCCCACTTGCAGCCTTGTTCTCGAGCTGCTCACCTCCCGACTCCCGGCTGTCTGGGTCTGGTCCTTCTTATTGGAGGGGGTTGGGGGGGGGGGGGGGGGTTGGGAGTTAGGACAGTTAGGGACATAAGCCCTAGAGTGCTTAAGTTCTTTTCGGGGTTTGGGTTGCTTTGTACGTTTCGCTCACTACAGGGTACCGACTCTCTCAGCTGGGACAACGGCGCGAAGTATCTGAGTCTAACTTTGGCCTTAAGCTTCGAGTTCCAGGTCTAGTTAAAAGCTTCTCCTTCTCTGAAACACTTGCTTCATGATTTTTGGTTGCAGGGGTCTTGGTATCTTTCGTATTTTGTATAGTCTATTGCGAGACGGGCTGACATGTCGGAAGGATATTCAGCGAGCAGAGTGGAAGATCGACGAGGGCTGCTCGCAAAGATGACTGCAACAGAAAACGCACTCAACACAAAGGCCACTCCATGAACACTTCAAAAACAAGCCACTCGAGGAAAAGTTCCCGCGGCCAGCAGGCTGCAGGGCTTTGGTGCAGAATTCTGCAAAGTTTGGAGTTGGGCCATATGGCTCTTCTTGGACGTCTTTTGCCTTTTGCCGAGCCAGCATCCCTGCCGTGGAAAGGCAAGGTGGCAGAGCCAGTGGGGAGCATACGGGTAAAATTACAGCGATAGCACAAGCCGAGTATTATAAATCTATGCTGAAGTTTTTCTGTCCCAACGAGACCCGATCTGTGAGAGAAGCCACCCTGCAATGCCCCCACACGATCATATAGACCTTCATGGAAAGCAGTGAGTCCATGTGAATCCCATCTAGCCTCAACTTCAGGCAGACTGTTCGCATGGTTGGGTCAGGACCCGGGCTTTCCAAACGGCTTTGTTCGGGATTAGGGCTCTATTTGTAGGGCATAGGCCGACAAAGCTGAGCGCTTTGGAAATCCGGGGATAAGTGCTCAGGGCATGAGGAGCGCTGCCCCGACAGGGCCTATTCTGGTGATCTTCTGCATCGCAGTGGTCATGAACCTCAGCCGCTGCTCTTTTGTGGAGCACACGAATCTGGATCATGGGCCGCTTGGCTTTGGGGTGTGAGCAGCTCCAACATTTAAATCTCGGCCCTAGCAAGCCAACACCATCAGGCTCGGGTCCCTACCGGACAGTCTGAACGACATACCAATTCCTTGCAGACGCTGAGGCCTCAACGAGAATCACACCACTAACTCTTTCACGGTGCAGCCTATTTCGAATGCAGATCTGCTACCGCCACCAATGCAGTATCATGCTATAATCATTGCAAGTGTCTTGAGTATCCCCATAAGGTTAATTCATAGTGAAAAAGGTTGTAGAGTATCCACTTCCTCAGAAGGCGTAACGCAGCCAATGTCACGATAGAGGGACTTACTCCCGCCACAGATCAGAGCTAGAAGTCTAACCAGCCTCTGACTGCCTTTCTGTACCAGGACCAAGTACCATACCAACACCATTCAGGCCAAACACCCAACCACAAAGAGTTCCTGTTCCCCAAAAGCACGTCGTCAGCCCAAGTCCCGTCTAAGCTGCTGACTCCGAGGTCTCGCGATCCTTTTATTCTTCTTGTTCGTCGGGGGTCGGGGGGGGGGGGGGGTTGGATACTGTGGTTTCAGGTTCATGATACTTAATGTTTCGTGCTCAGCGCTTCGGGTCTTGTCGCCAAAGTCGGTAACTCAATCCTACATAGAAAGCGTCTAGCTCTGAGTCTGCACTCCTCTCGGACGCGCCGTCGCAATTTAAAAAAGTGGGGGGAAACTCGGCTTATAGGCTTCAGTACAAGGCTGTTCTGCTATTCTTTCGCTTAAACACTCCTAGCAAGGCTTACTGACAGCGAGACCAGACGGGGAGCATTGTCCCAATTCACGTCTAGGGCTGTAGGTTTTCAGGGATTC